CAAAAGCGAATGCGTTTTGCAGATTTCATAACCCTCTTCCAACTTTCTTCAAATTTGCATTTTTTTCAACCGACGAGTATTCACAGGAAAACGACCGGACTTCATGCAAAAAACTGGTAATCATGTACTTGGAGATCCATGCACCCCTATAATGCAACATCTTCATCCCAAATGACGCCCTTTCTCAGTGCAACCCGGAAGAGGCTAAACAGTCTCAATGATAATTCAGCTTTACTTCGGGAATTACTATCGTCTACTTGCCAATGTTCACTTTTTTTTCGCCGTTTGTCTACGAACCTGCCGGGCACGTTGTCACTTGCAACCCCAACATTGTTCGTGACGTAACTCTTTGCCGCATTATGTCCAAGGGTACTAAATACAGAACTCCCGTACAGTGCAAATTCGAAGAGGTCATCAGTGATTTTTCATCAACTTTGGATAGGTTCATTCTTATGATGACACGAATACACCATAGAGACTTTACGAATTATGGCCCCTTTAAAGTTCGAATCCTAAGTATACTTCCATGTTGGGGGTGTCAATGCCTGAGTAATGCGCTTCCCACATTCCTTAAATTCGATAAGACACTATGGTTCTTGCACGGCCTTTACCTTATTACTCCCCGTAGATAAGGCGTCCAACAACTACATTTTCATTTGCAAGAAAATATTATGCTGAACTGCTTTGTCAAGTACTAGGTTTCACCACTTCTGGTATGATACTAGGTAACAGTATCTACAGTCCAGTTAATACAGGCCGTGCAGAGCTCATTAACCGACATACATCTTTACTGGAAAGATTTAAACTACACACTGAACATAACGATATCCGATTTCCAATTTTATACGCCATTCCCAAGCTTCATAAGAGTCCCTATGGATACCATTTTATTGCCGGGGCGCACCACTCCATACTCCGACCTCTTGCGTCCACTGCCCACAGCATTTTAGACCACTTATGAACTCACTTTCGTAATTACTGCAATACAATTGCTAAGGACACCGTAGGCAGGTTTACTTTAGTATCCGCAGCTCTTTGGATGTTGTTAATAAATTATCTGCTTTCAACGAGATCGTCAGATATTTATATAGTGATGACTTTAGTAATTTATTTACTAGTTTACTGCATTCTGAAATCCAGAGTTGCCTCACCTACCTGATTGATTTATGCTTTTCAAATTCCGTTAAGGATCTGCTTGTACTTTCTGATACGAGATGTTAGTTTACAAACACACCAACCCTAAATACTGCCAATTACGCGTTGGGAGAGGTTAAGTCTATCATTTTTACGGTGCTCAATGAGGCGTTTTTTCGCTTTGGAGGAGCAATCTTCCACCAAACTCAAGGTGCGCCTATGGATGGGAATGCCTGTCACGACATCGCTGATTTAACTCTTTCTATAATGGCGTACCGTTAAAGACGCACAACAACTTCAACTTACGACTTTTTCGATACATTAACGACATCCTAGTAGTTAATAATCCCGACTTCCCCGCCATCGCCTGAGACATATATGGTGTTACGCTGAAAATTAATAGTACTTATTATGGTCATAGGGCTTGTTTTCTTGATTTGGGAAATCTCATGTCATAGGACTAGCTATACCTTTGACGTTTACAATAAGACGCTTAACTTCCCCTTTCCGGTAAACTTTTATAGTGCTCCAGATAGTGATTTCGATCGAACCCTGCATGAGGGTATTCTCATTTCCAAAAGGTTGCAATACTCACGCATCTGCACCTCCTTAGATCGATTTATTTGATGGACCAGACGATTAGCTTCCGGCTATTTAGAAAGAGGCTACGACGCACGCAAATTAAATCAATGCGTCCATAAATTTATTAATAGGTATATTGCTACCCTTACTAGATACTTGTACTGTAATGACCACGGGAATAACATGATTTAGAGATGATACTTTCCGACGCTAATCCGATGTAATATCCTGTTATTTTTTATTAGTGTAATTATTTCTAGTATAACAGCGCAAGGGGAACCGACATTCAAGCGGAGCAAAACTGAGAATTTCGTACTCCATGTTAAAGATTTTTTTTCCAGTTTCTTTTTTGCATGTTTTTTATCCAACATCTTTTCTCATCCACACTATTTTCGTTGTAACATGGTGGTTAGGGCGCTGTACTGATGACACTGATGATGGGAGCTGTACTAACCACGTCTCCCGCTGTCCGTGTTTGCAGTTTAGGGATGAAACACAGGCATGCTTCTTTACACATACACCTCTCTACATGACTTTTTCGCATGACACACTGTTTTTACAAATATGCAACACTACAACTTTCTTGACATTTTATTTGCCTTTCTTTTCTTTACGAACTTACTGGCTACCTGATTCCGGATGACCGCCGTCTTACGGATGGGCTATTTAAAGTCATCTTGTATGGCAGGTACGACCCTTGTCGGTCTTCACCCATCACTGGAGAGGCCGTTGTTCCTGCCCCTCAGTTACTAGTCTTTCCCTTTCGCCTGCAGGGCCTTTACGGCCCGTACTGCCTTTTACTTCGAGTGTATGGGTTCGTCTATCCAGGTATTTCTACTCACCAACCACACAAACTATGATGCTGAAGTTTTGGCAGTGTGTTCGT